AAGGTAAATGTCCATATCCTAACTATAGATTCCGCTGCGTTAGGATTTATTTCGATAAGTTCAATACTGTGCATGTTGTTTGATGTTCCGCCCATAACCCAACAACTGGTATCAGAGCCTGGTTTAATTCAACCTCGTGCACAGTTTGAATTTGGACTTTGTCTGTTTACTTGAATTATGTGTGTACGGACGCAACGGCATATTAGATTAGAAATTGCAATAAGTTTTTGCAGGTTATTTCGAAGCTGACTATTACGGCCCGTATGTATGGATTTTAATCCGTGTTGAATGTATGCTGTTTTTAAAGCCTCAGACATGTCGAGGAATTTTTTGGGTTGGTGAATTCTTGTAATAAATTATTCGCGCGGTGGGACACTGCATAGTTTATTGCTTTCATAGAAACTCATGTACGGCTCTTGCGTGGGTCATAGGATGAATTATGTAATTGCTGTTTATATTATTCATTATTTGTAACACCCCGCTAGCTTATTAAAATCAGAGTAAAATTTTCGCAAATTCTTTTCTAAAAATATTTATTAGTTTGCGAAGTCGTGATTCGGGATGCTACTAAAAAACTATTCTTTTCTAAAAATTCGTTATCTTTTTAAAACTCTTTAGGAAACACGGATTCTTTACAAACAGACAAGCATGTTACACTGTACAAAATCCGACCGGTAAATTGGATCAAAAGCTGGAAACTCACAAGAAAGTCTGAAGAACTGAAAGTGTCAGCGAAGTAAAAACGTGGCAAAACATATACAGAACTGATGTGGTCATTAGTAGTGGTTCGTGCAGAACCGGTTATGATCCAGTCATCGCTGTCATGTAAAGGGAACCGGCTAGGCATCATGACAGAGGGTAGCGGGGTGAGTTCGGTGCCTCTGCGTGCCCGGCGTCCTTTAATACTCGGCGATTAGGGAGTGCCCGGCGGCCTCGGGTGCTCGACGTTAGAGAGTGCTCGGCAGCCCCGGGTGGTTGGCGTTAGAGAGTACTCGACATTCAGGCAGCCCGGCGAGAAGGCGCCATCAAAGGGGCTGGGACTTGATAGGGGCGTTGAGATCAAGCTACGAGGAGGTTGACAGCAATAACGACTCTAGAGACAAAAGAGATAAACTTCAAGAAGACTTCTTTTCTCATAAGGACTCTCTAAGTTTCTCCTATAAAAGGAGCAGGTTCATTCATTTTTACACAACACACATTCACGAGTTATCTCGTTACTCTGCCGTTTTCTCTCTAGACCATCACTGACTTGAGCGTCAGAGTGTTCGCACCGGGACCACCCCCGGCGTTCTTTGCAGGTACCGACGATCAAGGAGATGCAACCCGGTTCGAGAGGAGCGGTCCAGCGGTTCAAGTATTTGTGGTATAACAAATTGGTGCCGTCTGTGGGGACATCAGTCTTCTACCTGAGTTTTAAGGNGTTTTTTCTCACTACAAAAGAAGAACGATAGAAGTCATGGCGGGAGATAATTCGAAGAAGAACTTAACTAAGGAGATGGATGAGGAGTGGGCTCGGAGGGCCGTCGGGACAGGTCCCCCGCCAGGATGGTCACCATCACCTGTCACTCCCAAGGAGACGCTGTTGGGCCCGGGCGCGACCCCGATACCACCATCAGAAACCCAAGGGCGTGCAGCGAAAACGGGAGGATCGGGTGGTTTGACAGACAAGGGGAAGGAGGTTGGCGCCACGGTTGACCGGGGGGGGAGGGGGGGTGGATGTAATATCCCGACTTTTATCAGTGTAATAATATTTCAGTTCTGATATTATTTTTCGGAATTAATTATTTTCAGTTATTTCAGTCGAAATTACCGGAAAATATTTTCGACGTACCGTTTACGTTCGGAATAATTTTGGTAATTTAGCATTATGTTTAATTGGATAATTAAACATAATTAAGTGATTAATTTATCTTAATCACGAGATTAGCTAAATTGTTCGGATTTTATTCCGAGTTCATGTTCATGGCCGTGTGCATTTAAGTCCAAGTGTTGGTACATTTTGTTCATTAGCCATGCCGTGTGGTAAGTGTGTGCGAGTGTTGCGGACCGAACTCATGTGCATTTCCCGTGCGGAGAATCCGAGAGCTGGTGGAAGACCGTGCGCGTGTGTAGTCCGAGAGAATCCGTGCGCCATCCCCTTGTCCGTATGCTAGTGGCGGAGTGTCCAAGGCCGAGCATGTAG